CCTGCTCATCAGCTAATCATGCTTAAAATTTGCTAGCAGATCACACATGTTTCTATCCAGCGTCCAGTCTTCAGAGCTGTGGTTTCTCCAACATCTAGCTCTCAGACCTCTTGTCTTTCTCTGCAGTTAGTCTGGCCTGAAGTTCGCTAGCAGATCACACACACACGCTCTTACAAAGGAAACAGTTAGTTATGAAGAACAGACTGCAGCAATCACCAAGCAAGTATATTGACCAGTAGGCTGTTTACACATGATCGGCACCTTCTGTTTCCCCACTTTTTCCCATCTTCCTGGTCTTGGTCCACCCTCATCCACCTTGATCCTTCCTTTTACCTGCATTTATTCCTTCCCTAAATATCTCATAAGTTTTACTCAGTTTCAGAATCACCCTCAAACATTCTATGAGAAGTTTGCTATTTCAGTGAGACCCATTATAGTCTTGGGGTTTTTTTCATATTATCAATTATATGGTCTTCTTATCAGGTACAAAGTTTCCAACTGAACCTCTTAAGAGTTGCACTAAAGCAGTTCCTTGCAATGGCCCTTCCATCAGCATCTTAGGAATGCTGGTGTTTGCTGCTGGTAGGATTTGTGCATCTGTGTGCCTAATTTATTGCCTCTCCTGAGTTTGTCTTTTATATTGAGTAGCTATCAGCCAGATATCCTAAAAGTTGGAACTTTCTGATTTACTTGTGGCCTTTCTGGCAGTAGAGTGCTAGCAGCATAATAAATTGCATTACAAAGCTAAGTAGGCATAACCACTATTTTATACACGGAAAAAAAGCAAAGCTCTGCTCACAAAACTTGGTAACAAAGCAAAATATAGAGCTTGAGAATGAGAAGCCCTAGGCCTGTCTTTTAATGACCTGCTGAGCCTACAGTGTCTTTCTCAATCAACAATGTCTCCCTTCTTTTAACTCTATTTTTTTAATAATTTCACTTATTTTCCCTTCATAATGTCTTTGTCTTAGTTGTACATCTGGTAACAAAAGGCAGTCCAGTTCTTTGATCGACCTCACCTCAGACAGTACCTGGGATCAGCAAAAGCCTCACTTCGTTCCTAAATCTCGCTTGAGGCCAAAAAGCGCTTCATCTCCCTGGATTCCTTCCATCACCATCCCTCAGCCTTTTGAAATGACACTACGGGAAGCTCGCAAAAAGTCCCAGTTGATGAAGTCATACATGTTTCTTGAGCTAGGCAAACAGAGTGACAAAAGGCAAAGCCAGGATGAAGCTGAATGTCAGAAACAATTCCGGGCACAGCCTGTACCTGCCCATGTGTTTCTGCCTCTTTACCAGGAAATAATGGAGCAGAATGAGATTCGCAGGCAAACAGCAACACAGAAAAGAAAGGAGCTGCTACTTTCAACCCAGCGGCCATTCAGTTTCCTGGAGAAGGAGGAGAAAAAGAAAGAAGCTATCAGACAAAAGTTCCTGGCAGCAGCAACCCCAAATGAGGGCTCCAAACAGAAGCAAGGCAATAAAAAAGTTCCTAAATCTACTTATGACCTACTTCTTGGAGATAAACTCAAAGGTAAAATGCCAGGGCTCTTCCTGTAAAAACAGCTCCCTGCCCATTCCTCGCTGTCTCCATGCTGGGAGGTAGGATCATGGCCCATAGGGCGTTACTTGGAGCATAAAGCCAGTACCATTACATCCCCTGGTGTTGTCTAGTCTCCTGTGTATCACCAGTCATTACATTTCATCTAGATACCCTTACAGTAGAGCATCCTAAATTTAGTACTCTTGTATGAGTGTCAACAGCAGCAGTTCTGTACCACTCCCCAGCACACATGGGTACATTGAGCTCTTCAGACAGATTTCCATACCCCTTTTGCTGCAAATCCTGACAGTCTGAGAATCCTTCTCTGCATTGGATTCCATACCTTTGGTTATGCTAAAGGGACTTGGATGATTTGTGGCACAAACATGAAGACAGATGTAGTGCCAGAAGGGTCCAAGGTCCATGCAGTAGCTTGGAACTGACAATTTTACTCCCACCCAAGTGAAGTGATCTGTGCTGCACAGAACCCCTAGGAAGAAATATTTCCTCAGCCCAAATCAGGCAATTTGGTTCTAAGTGACAGTACAGTAGACCAGTCTCATCTGTCATTCTGTGATGTTTTCAGTTACCTTCCCACTCGCTCTCCACCTTCTTAAGTGCTAAAACCAGAGGAGGCAGGTGCCAGGACCATTCTAGTCAGAGGGACAGCCAAGGAAATTCTCCTGATGCTCGCCTTCTTTCAGATTTAAGCCCCCACAATTCTAAGTTTGAAGTAAGCAATACAGACTTCACGCTTGAATATAGGAACTAAACTAGTCTTTGATAATTCTCATTGCTTTTCTCACCCCTTTCTTTTTTTTACTGTTTTCCACTGATTTCTTCTTGAGTATACACCAGTTCAGTGTTCATCAGACAGCATTCTGTTGTGGTGTACTAAACTAAATAGATTAGAAAGGTAAAAGACAGCAAAAGATAAGCCGTTGTTCTGTTTCTATCTGGTATATGAGAAGGGCGGAGCAATGAACATTTCATACCTCAGTTAATGCAAACTTATAAATAGACTCAAAAAAAGTCTTATTTTGCAAACAGCAGTATTGATTTTTTCTTTTCTAAAAGCAAAAAACCAAACATCAGCCAACTATTTGTCTGCATTTTCCCAAATATTTAGTGCTGCACAGGAAAGGACTTGTTTGATGCTATACCCTGAAACACATTCTTTCTGTTTGTCACAGAAGTCACAAGGCATGATCCATCCACCAAATGCTCCTTACTTAAAATCTTTTCCAATATAGACAAACACTGCTGGATACTACATAGAAAAGCCATCATCCGTTACAAGTATATTTGAACAGCCCATTTGGATCACACAGTCAACATAATGACATAAAGTCCCATACGAAAAGCCAAACCTTGATTAACCCAACAGCTCTGCAAGACAAAGAGCACAGGTTATCTGGTACCCCTAAAGAATAGGAATAGGGGGAGAAGGCCTGTTCAGGAACTTACTCTCATAAGTGAAAGAGATATCTTGAGATTAATGCCTAAGAAAGAGACTCTACCATGTTTTTTCTTGAATTTTTTTTTTCCCTAGGAGGCAGAGAAGAGAGTGTGTCTGGGAAGTGGGGAAAGAGAACACAGGATGTCTGGTCTCTCCTATATGTGTAGCTTCAGTCATAAAGAAAAGTTTAGAGTTGTGCGGTGGCAATTTCACAGCCTTTATGTCAACTCATATTCTTCTCATTGCTTTGCTTTTGATTCATTAGAAGCTGAACTCTACAGAGAAATCCGCATTCAAATGAGAGCGAAGGATTTGCTTAAGAGCTCCGTAGCTCCTATAGATACTAGCAACTGTCGGAGGGAGCCTCAGTGCCGAACTGCCGCTAGAACTAAGCAGGAAAGACTTGGCTTCTTGCAGGACAAAAGTTTCAGCTTCAAGCCAAGGATTAATCCAACAATACCGGATTTTGAAGGACTTTACTGGGCATTTCAGAGGGAAGCAGTAAGGAGACAAAGAATCAAAGAGGCAACTCGTAATAAACCATTCCAGCTAAGAACCTCCAATCTCCGTGACAGGCAGAGGCAGGCTAATGAAAAGATAAAGGTGAGATGACTGGATATTTCTGTGGTAGTGCTTTCTCCGATCAAGATAGCAACTTCTTAAATTTATAGCATGCATTTATGGATGGTTAATGTCCTGTGACCTCTGCCCTTGTCTTGAGAGTACTGCAGAATTCTAGGATAAACCAGAGAACAAAATTCTACACAGAGATGTGCTATGACAGCTAAGGCTCAGCCACCCTTCCACACTTGTAATCACTTCTCCTTCCCCTCATCCCTCAGCCCATCCCCATGCAAATCCCTGCTGATGGAAGAGAGAAGAATGAGTGCATTGCCCACATACCCCAACTGTTCTCTTTGGTAGACAAAGAACAGAGTACATTCTGTACTGTGAACAAATACACTGAATGAAGTTCCATTTTTTTCAGGATTCTCAGCAACTTTCGAAGGTTTCAGTGCAAAAAAGTCATTCTTTGACCAGACTTTCCTCTCTCTCTTCCAACACCCTTCCAGTGCATATTACGGATGCAACTAGAAAAAGGGAATCTGCTATTAGGTAAGTAGAAAAGTTTGTCTACAAGACCATACACCAACTAATGACCAAATTGGAGGGAAAAAAAAGTCAGTTTTTTCCCTCATTACATCAACTATATCAACAATACTTTTCCTAAATGTTTCTCTGTCTTTCTTTGCTAATTTTGCCCTGCCTCCCAGTTGATTTCGGAGCTGCACACTTGTATGTCTGAATTTTTGCTTTCTCCTTAGAGGACTGCAGAAGTGAAATTCCCCACTAGCATGTAGTCTGGCAGTCTTAAGTGAGCTCATTAGTAACTTTTTTCTATATAGATTCTCCCAAGATAACAAAAAGGAAGGGGACAAAGAAGGAATTTATTGGCTGGAGAAACAGAAAAAAAAATGTCAAGCTATCCAAAAGTCAGTGAATAGACGAGCAAAAGCCCTGGATCCCCATAAAAGTCTGGAGGAAACACACCAGGAGAAGTTGAAACAGAACTGGTCAGTATCCTATTCTGCACAGAAATAACCATTTGCTCTACTAACTTGGGATCACCAGATCAGTCTTTAGGAGGGATTGGGTCTAAGAACATTACTAGCCTAACTTTTTTGGCTGTCATACCCATTCCACATTCATTTGGATTTCTTGACAATTCCACACTACTCCTTCCATACAGAACAGTTTTCTTTAAATTAACATTTGTAGAAACTAATTTGTACAAACAAGCCAACTGAAATGTATAATTTGGTAAAGCACACATAAGACAAGGTTTTCTAAAAATGTGAACACTGGTTCTCTGCTTGCAGTCTAGTAGTAAAGCTTTGCTAATGGGTCCGTAACTTGCCAGCAATAGGATTTTTTTGCCTAGTATTCGGAATCAAGAGAATTACCAAAGCTATTTAAAGGACAAAACAGTTATTGAGAACTCCTCATTCCTCATCAGCTACAGTCAGAGGGAACCTGTATTACACAGGTAACTTTTCCATTTCAGGCAAAATATGAGAGAGAGAACAAAGGAATACAAAAAGGAGCTGGAAGAAATGCAGCTGCGAGTCAAGAACAGACCATACCTCTTTGAACAGGTCACCAAGGTAACTGGTCAAAGTTCCAGAGTGTTTCTGGGGGACAGGATACATCATCTTTCGTTTAAGACAGGCATTAAGAAATCTAATCTCAAGTTAACTCATGGATTAGAAGCTGCAAATGGTTGCACAGTCTCTTGACTACACTCAAAATAACACATGGAAGGGCTACCCAACTATAATTTAAATTCCTTCCCACTACTTGAAAAAACACTCAGACTTATTTCTTGGTTGTAGAGCTTTCCAGTCCCTAGTATATACTGCAATCAAAATATATGGTCTGATCAAAGTCAAGGCCTTATCACATCAGAAGTTATATGAACACCTGTTCTGCACCTGAATACCACAGCCTACAGTATAGAATTTCTAGACTTTTTTTCTTAAAACCCTCTCCAGTTGAGCCCTTTTTCTTTGTACCTCTAGTGCTACTAGAAAAACATTAATGACAGTTATGTCGCTTGTATCACCTGCAAGCTCTGCTATCTGGGGTTGTGTTCAGCACATCTCATCCATCATACAGTACCAGCTGCAAATCTGTATTGCACTTGAGGTGTAACTAACTCTCGTTAGTGCTTACAGATTACAAGCAAACATGCTTCCAGAATTTCTCACAACCCTTTTTTGCACATATTCCCAATTTGAGTCTCAGAGTCAGGACTCAGACACAAGTATGCTTGTCTGGTGAGACTGGAATGCTGTAGAAGCAGGAGAACAGAAGAAGGAAGGAAAAAAGAACAGAAGCAGGAAAAGGTGAGCTCTAGCTTTGACAGATGTGAGACACTGTCCTAGTATTCAGTTTTGTACTGTACTGTATGGATGACAAAAATTTTGGACAGGGGCTTTGCTGTCCTCTTGTTCTCATTAGAGTGTCAGCCATGAACTTTGAAACAACTTGACCATTATGGGGAAGCCCCAGTTCTACATGCTTACTGTTTAAGTTTCAATTTCACAGCGTGATGCTCGTCAAGGAGCAGAGCGTCACTACAGACACACCCTCCAGCAGCTTGGGCTAAGCGAAGAATTTGTAAGAAAAAAAGGGAAAGATGTCACTGACTTGCTGGAAGAAGAATCTGATATTCACAGGTAATAAAAACAATGCCATACAGTTGTTTTGTCTTTGACTAAAAATATTTTCCTTGTTCATGAAAGTGTTCCAGTTTGTATCATCTAGTTTAGGCAAAATTAAATCAACTTCACTCCTCCTATTAAGCATCACTGCTTCTCTATGTTAACTCCTATGACTGCACTCTATTTCTTATGCATGGGGCAAAGCAGCAAGTAAGCACTGCAAACCATTTCCAGTATTAGACAATCACTGTTTCTGCAGAGCGCCCAAACCTCGGGGTGAAAAGGATGAGTGCACTGCACAGGAAGGAGAACCTGAAGAAGAACAGAGCAGAAAGGAAATGGCAACATAAGATCTAGCAAAAGAATCCATCAGTCGTCTCTTAATTTTTTTAATTCAAGGTTCTCCAGGTTAATCCTCAGGAACTTTATGGTTTAGGCTGACACCTAGGAATTGCTCTGGGGTAAGTGAGATGTGAGAACTTCGTAAAGCTAAAAAAGACTGACTGTTGTTTAGACCATGTCTTGTCCAATCCAGCAAACCCTGTTGCCTCCCTTAGTCTTCCCAAGTGCTGCTCCTGTGAGCGATTTCCCTTTCTTTAACAGGCAACAAAACAAGTTAAAAAGGTTGAAGCACTATCCTTGGATAAAAGTAAATATGAAAGATTGAAGAGGTGCATCCTCTAGCATCAGCTCCTTGCGTTCATGCCACAGAAGCACACAGAAAGGGGAGAATGCCTTTCAGTGTGCTAAACCTTGGTTTATACATGTATGTAGCAGAATGCTTTTAAAAAAGGTATTTCTGAAAAAACAAACAGCAGGATTTGACTTACCTTGGGAGAAGACTCAGAGGGAAGTCCTTCTCTGGTGTTAACTCCTCATTCACTCATTACCAGCGCTGCTTCTTTCTCCCATTAGGAAGAAGCAATAGTCTTTCTATATTAAAAAATCTCCCACATTTCATTATTTGAAACTGTTTCAACATCTTAGCAATTTAGGTCATTAATTTGGCCTGAAAAACAACCAAAATTATGAATAAGGTTGTAATTAAACAATGCATCACTTTGGATTGCTGTTGTCCTAATTCTGCAATTACTGTGATATCAAAGATGGACTTTGGTGGAGGAAAGATAAGGTGTTACCTGTCAGCATGTTGCACTCAAATGCCTCGTGCATCTTGAATGGTATAGTTCACACATTAGTGGTCTTTCTTTACCTTACAGTAATAACAATCTCAAAAATACAAACCCTTACCACCTGGAATGTTTTCTGAGAACTATGATACCAAAGCACTTTGAGATTAAAAGATTTTTTAAATGGCTATCATGTTTCTGCATTGTCCAATTTATTTATCAATCATCTGTTCCTCAGTTTTTAAATAGAAGTTGTGTCCCTCTTCATCTTCGTGACCTCGATCCATTTCTCCTTACACTGTAACAACAAAACTTCATCAACAAATCAGAAATACAGTGCCTGTAAGAGCTACCTTATTAGATAAAGATATAAAACTGAGCAATGACATTTTAAGTCATAACAAAGTACTAGGTGCAAGAATTTATGGCTCTGGGGTTGTCCTGGTTTGGCTAAAACAGG